GTGTCGTCAATATCAAAAATGATACACTTATCTTCTTTATCATATATAGATGTATTTATGCTTTTTATATTATCTGTGGTTTTTATTATTCTCATAAAGGGTAAATTGAATATTTTAAATTAAATTTAAAAAAATCAATTATGTGACCGATAGAGGTGTCGTGTTCGAAGCAAATGAGCGGTCCTTTACAATCAAATGATTATAACAAATTGATCAATGTTATTGGTCTTCTCTAAAATCAATAGGCATTCAACCTGATTAAAAAAAGTATTTAAAGAAGATTTTCGTAAATCAATTCGTTTTAATGACTAGCTTGTACAACAAATACTTTTACCTTTTATTTCTCAAAAATCGCACGTTACTGTTTAGGTACGACAGATTTTTTTAAAAATTAAAACAACATTTTGTATTCATAAATACAGATTTACAGTAGCGGAATTAAAAAATAAATAAATGTTTTTATTCATCTGTAACTAAGATTTAATTGATATGTTTTAAATTTGTTTTCACGTGTATTGTAATATTTTTTATTCAATTCTTAATTTAATAAAAATAAATTTTAGGTGGAATTAAAAAAAAAATTTTTTTATTAATATCTTGTATGGCCCCCTCTCGTTTTAATTACTGCTTCATATCTTTTTTTAATCCTGATAATAACTTTTGGCACAGATCTCTTGGATATATTATATTATTTTTCTACTACAACAACTTTTAATTATTGAATATTTTTACACCGTCTAGCACTAACATTTTTCTTAAGAACATACCACAAACTCTCAATTGAACTTTAATAATTTTGATGGCAATTAAATAAATTTGATATTTTTTAATCTAAAAAATTCCTTCGTGAGCTTTAATGTGTGCTTTTGGTTATATTTTGTTTAAATTAAAAATCTTTTAAATTGAAATATTTAGCACTTTTAAATAAATTATCATTGAGAATTGTTGTATACTTGAATTTATTCATTTTACTTTCAATAATATGGATATTTCCAACACCTTTCTCCGAAAAACATCCCCAAATCATGATTGAACCACCACCATGCTTAATAGTAAGTTTTAAATTTTTCATATCATATCGCACACCATCTTTTCGGCGGCAATAAACTATTCAGTCTGATTCAAACAGTGATATTTTAGATTTATTACTCCATATAATATTATTTAAGTAATTTTTCTCTTTATAATATAATTCCGCTGCTATTATTAGTCTTTCTTGATTGTTTTTTTGACAAAAGTGGTTTACATACTCTTCTCCCGTCTTTATAACCTAAATCACTAAGTTGTTACAAACAGTCCTAGCAATTACGTTTTTTTCTGATTTTAAAAATTTTTTTTACTAGTTAAGTTGAAACTATAAATGGAATTTTCTTGATTTCCTTGTTAGGATACAGCAAATTACTATCATTAAATAAAGATTTTCTACCCAAACCCCTAGTTCGAACGTCTGTTTCTTTTTTCCATAATCTTTTATTGTTCTATGGGCATATGAAGGATATATATAAAATTTTTCTGCAATTTTTTTGACTCTTTTCAGCTTTATATTTATCTAGAATTCCGAATTTTGGCAAAAACTTCTTTTTTTTAACATAAGGGTTATAAAATTTTTTGATTAGTCCCATTAGACGCCCCGGTTTTAGATCAGGTCCATTAGACGCCCCGTAAAAAGAAAAAAACAAAAACTCAAACAATTTAATTATAGATGTAAATTTATCATCCGAGTGGCGCTTTCTATATATAAAACTCTTGTATAAATACTTTTTTGTTCTAAAGTTAAACTCTTAATTTTTTTTAATGGCCAATTTTAGTTTATTGTTATAAGACTCTACATTTTGATGTGTGCCAGTATTACGATAAACAAAGCAATATTTATGACAAAATGTTTGGTGCTGATATAGATTGAATTTATTTAGTGATGAATAAGATTTCCATTTATCTGTTACTATAATACTACCAGGAATTACAATCTGATTTATTATAGATAGTAATACTTCTGCAGAACGATTTTCAACAATAACAGAATAACCCAAAGCTAAAACAAAAGAAGTTTCAACAATTACTAAAGCTCAGCACGCAGGTATATGTCGACCAAGGTGATTTTTTACATTAAAATTTAATTTCGTCTCGTCGATTGACACAATAATGTTGGGGCCATTATGTTTAATAGAATTATTACAAAATATTGTTTAATCTTTGAGGCTATAGTTTTTTAAGCCAATAACGGCCCTTTTTTAATCTGGGCTAACTCTATAATAGCTGTAAACTCAAGGCTCAATGAAAAATAATAGATGGCCTTCAGAATGGTTTTAAGATTAATTATAAATAATAAAAGAATTGAACCATGTCTTATATACAAAGTGATTTGATATTTGATAATGCATATTGCATGCATCTTCACTGAAATTCATCTATATGCCGTTTACTAATCCCAAAGGCCATATTTATATTGCAATAAATGCAAAGTTGCTGGTTTTTTAATATGTTATATCTAAATAACATAATTATGATTTCGTAGTTGCTCATCAAGATAATTTTGTTTCTTAAATTTCGATTCATTTAAAAGTAAAAACAATAAAAAAATATAGCAATATCTAAAAATTTTAAAATCACAAAAAGAATTTTTTGCATAAATAATAAATATATTATTTGCATACAGCAATACATTTTTTTACTACATTTACTGTTTGAGTTCTAAATAAGTTTTTGCCTTTTAAAGATTTATTTTTTTTTAACTTGCATTTATTACTATAAAATAAAACTGTAACTTTTATTTTTTTTAATTGGTTCGAGGTAGTACAAATGTAAGTCTTGTTATAAAATAAAAAAAAGTTGAAAAATATCACTTTATTAAATATTTTAATTAAACTTTATATGTTCATAATTTTTATCAATACCATCCATAATATTTTTTAGAGGAGAAATTAACCATTCAATATCTGTAGATAAATGTGCCACAGAATTGAAAAACATATGTAAATTACGACTCATCTTAACTAAAAGATTCTGAGAGCATTCTAATCTTTCAATTAGCATTTTTATAATTACAACAACACATTCTAGTTGTATAGTTTGTGAAAAAATTTTAAATCTCTGTGTCATATTTTCACATTCATAAAAAGCAAGGTTAATATTTTCCCGTTGCAGGTTAACAGTTAAATTAAAAGATAAGAAATACTCTACTATTTCTTTAATAAACATGTT